GAATGCCAGTGTATTCAGTAGTGTGGGGTCCTGATTCAGAAAAGGTTCTTTACACAGCAGGAAAGCAGCTAATCATTAAACCTCTTCAACCAAATGCTAAAGTTTTACAGGTACTTCTCTGGTATTTGCAAATTGTTACCAGGGTTTGCTGACTGCTAAGCTAGAGGAGTCCTTGCTTAGGAGTCCTTTTCCTCTGGATGTGTCCTTTTGCTGTCTGCAGTCTCCAGTATGTGGTTTTATCAGCCTTTATTACAAAACTGGGAATGCCTGTTTATGTTTCCAATGAGGTCCATTTCTCCTCACTCCAACTCACTGGTAAATCATAAAGGTCGTTTGAATTCCTAGATTGTCACATCATTTGGCATAAGTAGGCATCTTTAAATTTAGTGCAGTCAGCCTCAAATGGATAGATTTGAGATGAAACAGAACTAAATCATGAAACTTTATTGTAAAACTTTAAGTGCTTGCTTAAACTTTGTTTTTCATCACTATCATCTGTTCAAATACTTGAGATCTAAGAGCCTAGCGTTCTTTTAGTATTTTTAGAGTAGAGGAGTCAACCTTTACTTTTCTGTTATTCAGAAAGGAAGAATTAAGTTAGGAGCAGCATCTTTGATGAGGGGAGGAATGGCTGTTCTTAGCCCAGGGACCAGGAAAAAATGATTGGAAATATGTATGTGTGTTTAAGAGAAAGGTTGAACAGAACTGTATGAAAGCGAGCAAAACAATAGTGGAAGTTACTTCAGGTCAGGCCAGGACTAATGAATGGAAAACCATGAAGCCTGTACCCAGGATTCATTTCTTGAATCCAGTATTCCCAAGCCCTATAAATGGCTTGTATTGAACTTTCACATTTGAATTAAAGATTGTTAAACATGAAAAAAAAATTAGAATGAGGGGGCCAGTAGATGGCGTAGAAGTTATGTCACTAGTCTCCCACATGGTTGACTCTGGTTTGAATCCCAGACTTGGTGGCTTGAAATTCCGCTGGCATGTGCGTGGCGTGGCTATCCCTGCTGGGGGGCTGATTTTTCACTTTCTCTCTCACTGCCTTTGTTTCTGTTTCCTGCAAGCACACATGCCCTAAGACAAAAACCTCTAAAAAAAATTAGAATGATTTTCTTCATTTTTTGATAATAACTCAGTGTAGTTTGGGTTATAAAAACATAGACTTTGGAGTTTGTCATCTGGATTAAAATCTTCACATACTTACCTATACATGCTCTTAGGCGAGTTATGAAATATCCTTGAACATCAACTTTCCTATCTCTTAGTTGGTGGCACTAACACCTACTCAGTAGAATTGTTGATGAGGGTTCGATGAGTTAAGTTGCGGAGTGCAATGGACAGAACATGACATGCAGTGAGCACTCCATATAGAGTAGTTATTATTGATGCTGTTATGTTTTTATGGCATCTCGACATTTTAGTCAGCCAGGGAGGCCAGCAAAAGTATGTATTATAGAATAACTAGGTTCTAGGTAAGGGATTTGGTGGTGGAGGCTGACTGAGTTCAGCAATCATGAAAGTGTTTTAAGAAGCATCAGGTTTAACCATTGAGTAGATGTAGATTTCGAGGAGTAAGAAGATACAAATTCTGACTTTGAGTTTCCATATAAGTAATTTCTGTATAGATGGTACTATGTATCAACATGCGTTTGCTTTTTTACTGTATATAGAACACTCTGCTAAGAATTGTAGGTACTAAGGCACTGGACTCTCACATGGCTGACCATGCTTCAAGTCCTGGACCTGGCAGCTTGAAAATCATGCTAGGTATGTGTGCAAGCATGCCCAGAATTCCAAGAGGAGAATGGAGAAGGGATTCCAGCATGATTATCCTCTCTGGAGGGAGAGAGGTGATGATTGTAGGGACAAATAAGAAATAGAAGACAGTAAGTCTTTACCCTTAAACACCTAAGGTCAGGAATTTGGGCAAACGGAAGAGGACTAGATTTGAATGCTTCTAGTTAAAGTCGTTCCAAATCAATTGCTTGTCCTCTGAAAACCTGCTATGAAATTATACAGTAAAACCAGGCAAGTTGAATCTTTTAGTTTACAGTTGTGTCAATTTGTTGAGGTATGTGTAACGAGGTTTATATAAATGAAGCTCAGGAAGCTGCTTATATTATATTAACTAAAATACAATTTAGCGGTTCTGTAGAATCTTTGGCCAGGAGTTAGTGGAGAGAAGAAAAATGGCTGCCAAAATTCAGCTAGAGAGAAAAAGGAGTTAAAGTATAATTAACAAATTTATACAAATTATCCCTTTTGGAAAACTAAAGCTTTAGCAATTCTCCTTGGTCATAAATGTATTAAAGTTTGGATTATCTCCAAAAAGGAATGCTCCATTAATTCTTGCTTGTGGAATGCAATTCAGAGATTTTTTACCTTATTTCCTTTAAGACCTCTGGACACCTGTAACTTGTTTTTATAGTGAGGAAATTTTTAAAACTTATTCATTCAGTAAAATATACTATATATTTATTAAATACCAGGCACTGTGCTGGGTATGAGATAGTCAAAGTGAAACAGAACATAGTTCTTGTCTTCAAGGAGCTTTTTTTTTTTCCAAAAAGTTTTATATAATGCCTAATAAATTGAAAAATAATTGAAAATTATCTGTGTTTTATATATAATATAAAGGATAATTTGATATCTTATAGTATAAGTGAGTTTAAATCATTTTTGTTCATAGCTTCTGAATACACAAAAATTTATTTTGTATCTTTTAAAAATTTTTTATTTTGTTTTTGTTTGATGGCGCATACTCTTGCCAGAGAGACAGAGAGAAAAGAAGAGAGAGAAAAACTACCTCCCAGTGGGCTTGCGATCATGTCATGATCCTTTTCTTCTATTTCTCCATCCTATCAGGATTTCGGGTACTCGCACGTCCACTCACCTAGAAGGTTGTTCAAGCCAGCTGCTCTGGAACTCAAACTAAATGGTTGGCCATGTGGGATGTGGTTCTTTTAAGCATCAGGCTATGGACTGGCCCTTGTGGCTTTAAAATGGAATTTCTGAGAATCTGAATATATGTATACTTCTATTTTCTATTGTTGTACTTGTTTATTTGTCCTTGTAATTCTTTCAGGATATTATAGAAGGTTAGTTGGCCATTAATTGTAAGAATTAACTGCTTTTTAATATATATTGTGAGAAAATTTGTTTTTGAAAATGTGTATTTTGAATAAGCCAGGCTAAGAATTGTTTATCTTAGGGCTTATTTGACCCTAATTTTTTATTCTGTATATATTAGAAGTGATAGATTGCAAAGGATCTGTACAGAAAACTGTTAAAATCTGTAACCCTTTAAAAAGAAGTTAAGTGGTTCAGGTATTAAAATATACCTTATAGTCTTTAAGAAAAGAAAATTCTTTTTAGTTATATTATTTTGCCTATGGTAGCTTTGAATTACATGTGTGGTAATAGCTAAATGGAACATGAATTACATTTAAGAGTAAGACATTAATGCTTACTTTCTAGATTGCCATTTTTTAAAAAAAGGAATTATTGATCTTACTTCTTTTTCTTCTTCAATTTGACCAGAGGGAGAGACAGTGAAAGTAAGAAAGCAAGTTGCAAGGTCCAGGACTCAAACCACAGTTGGCCATGTGGGAGTCCAGCACCTTAACCACTTCACCACCTGCTGGTCCCCAGATTGCCAATTTCAGGTTGACATATACATATATATATATATATATATATGATATATATGCATTCTGTATATATAGAATATATTCTTATATACAGAAAATATTTTTTGTTGCGTGGTAAATGCAGTGGAAGGTTCTTGGAGTAGTCAGTGGTGAATCAAGCTTATAGAGGTACAGAGAATGAAGCTTAGGGAATATGCAGAAGAGAATAAAGAGAATACTACAGAAGATGTTTGTGTATTAGAGGTTAAAAAAGAAAAGAGAAGTAGTAAACAAGCATGAAGACAGTATCAGTAATGGGATCCAGTGGATAAAGAAGACAGTAAGATCTGGATCCAGCTGATACTTTTGGGATATGTAGCATGTTCATTCCAGTGTTAACACACAAATGCCAAACTTGAATAGTTCAGCAGTAGGTGATTTCCCCTCTGGAGCCCAGGCAACTGAAGACATTCAGAAGGATGTAAGCACATAGAAGGAAGATATCGTGGTGCTAGGTGCTTTCATTAGTGTAAACTAGAAATTAAACAAGCAAATGAGCTATTGCTATGAGGAAAATTGTAATCTCTAAGGAGATGACAAGAGAACCAATAGAAAGAAACAAAATGTCCTTCCGACAGGAAAAACTTCAGTGCTTTTAAAGTTATAATTAATATCTTTTTTTTTTCTCACAGTGGAAAGCCCACGATGGTATTATTTTAAAAGTAGATTGGAACTCAGTCAATGATCTTATTTTATCTGCTGGTGAAGATTGTAAATATAAGGTATGTAATGTTTAGATTTGTCACCTGATTGGAAGAATCAAATTTAGTTAAAAAGCATGTAAGAATATTCTTTTAGTCTTTAACTTTAGTCATATCTTTTAATTCTAATGAATTTGCAGTATTTTAAAATGCTGACTTGATAAAGACTATCTTATATCAATCTATAGAGTTTGATTTAGTAACTAGCAACATCAATATAGCTTCTAGTTTTAGCGACTCAGTTGAAATCAGTTTAAGATTTTAACAATCAATGTTTACTGAATATTGATCAGTTTCAGACTAAGATAATTTGTAGAGAATAATAAAACTGAATGTAACTATAATATGAGAAAATTTAAATGAAATAAATACTTTTTGAGAAAGTTCATAAGAGTTCTTATTGGGCAAAGAAAAAAACTAAGCAAAAATCTAAACATCTCAAAACTTTACTATTAAATTTAAAATGGGTATATTTTATGTTTAATCGAAGATTTAATGAAATCTGGAAAATTATTACAATGTTATAACTTTTTGAGATATTTACATTTTAAGGAACATAGCTTTTTTTTTTTAAAAATCCTTACATAACACTAATGACTTAATTGCCAATATTATAAGGTCATGACTTCTCAATCTTTACTCAAATCTTCACGGAAGGATAAATTTGTTTGTAATAATATGGTGATCCATTACATTTTTAAAACATTTTGCTCTCGTAGGTGTGGGATAGTTATGGCCGCTCACTATACAATTCACAACCTCACGAACATCCTATTACCTCAGTTGCCTGGGCTCCAGATGGGGAATTATTTGCTGTTGGATCGTTTCATACTTTACGCTTATGTGATAAAACCGGGGTAAGTATAGTGGTGAGTAATCACAGATGTGCTGTTATGAGTGTGGTAATGCACAACACACGTGATTCTCAGTCTTTAAAAAGCATTTTCAATGAATATGTTTGACCGAACCTTTCTGATTTGTCTTCTTCATATTCTGATTCAATTAGTTCCAGATTTATGGATCTAAACTCTTAAGTTCGAAGAATAGGTTTTTTACTAGTATCTTTATGGAAATACTTATTTTGAGCATGATTGTGGAGAATAATAAAGTAGTTCAAGTATTCAAATTTATGTTCTTTCAATATGGAAAGTTCAATTTTAACCTTTTTTTTTTGCTTTCAATGAGTTTCATACAAAATTTTGGTTGCATTTTTTTTTATATGGAATTAATAGTGACTTTTTAAAATGGTCATTTTTAAGGCCAAGAGATTTTTGGTGGGGCAACGGTTCATATTTGAATACATGTGAGACTTTTTTTCTTTTAGGAGTATGCTCCTTCTTTCATAGAAATTCTATTTGGAGCATAGGCAACAAGCCAAGCTCTGCAGCATTTACCCATTAACTTATTGAAGGAGTTGTTCCACTGAGGTACCCCCAAAGCAGCAGCAAATATTATGTGACAAAAAATTTGATTGTGGGGGGAGCAGCAGGTAGCATGGTGGTTAAGGTGGTGGACTCCCACATGGCTGACCATGCTGGCTTTCTCATTTTCCCTTTCATTCTCTCTCTGTCTCTCTCTGGTGAGCACACATGCCCTATGGCAAATTAAAATAAATAAATATTTTTTTAAAAAGAGTTTGAATGGGATAATTTTGTATTATCTGGAACTATGAGAAAATCACATAATTGTTCTATGGCTCATTTTTCTCAAGTGCAAAATAGAGTAGTTAACAGAATTTTTAGAGCTTTATAAATGGTCTAGTAAGTGTTCTGATTATTTGTTTCCTATCATATAAAATATGAATTCTTTGCCTAGCTTTAGAAGCTTTCTGAAAGAGAGCATCTCAACTATTTGTGATTATTTTTTTGTTGGTAACATTCAAAAATCATTTTAGCTACCCTAAGACATGCAATAGGTGTTGGTAACTACATTCTTCCTACTGTATTTTACAGCACTAGGCATTGTTCCTCGTATCTATCTGTAATTTTGCTTCCATTAATCATCATGCCTCCATTCCTGACCCTTGTATCTCTCCCAGACTCTAATAGTCATTTTTCATCTCTCTACTTCTATGAGTTCAATTTTTCCAATTTCGATAAATGAGGGAGAACATGTGGTATTTCTCTTTTTGTGCCTGGCTTATTTCACTTAATATAATGACCCCAGGCTCCCTCATTTTACCCCAAATGACCAGATTTTGCCCTTTTTAATGGTGTTTAATAGTCTTTGTGTGTGTGTGTGTACAATACATTTCCTTAACAGTTGTCTTCTTTCTTTTAATTTTTTCCTCACTAGATGATCTTAAAAGATTTAACTTCCAATTTGGAGATTTCTTTCTTCTGCATGCTCTAATCTGCTGTTGAAGCTTTCTATTGTATATTAAATTTTATTTATTAGTGTTTAGTTTTGAGAATTTCTATTTGGTTCTTTTTTATGATTTCTATGTCTGTTTTCCTTACTTTGTTCTTGTATTGTTTCCCTAATTTCGTTGAATTATCTATTGTTATTTTCCTATATCTTGCAGTTTGTTTAGAATCATTATTTTGAATCCCCTTTCTGCAGGACCTATTGCTGGAGACTTACTGTTTTCCTTCAAAGGTGTCACGTTTCTTTATGTTCCTATATTGACTATCTGTGCATCTGGTAGGGCAGTCGGTTCTTCTTCAGGTTTTCTGTGTCCTCCTAATTCAATTTTGGTGTAGATTATATATATCCAGGAATTTGTCCATCTCATCTAGATTTTCTTGTTTGTTGCCGTATAGTCGCTTATAGTATCCTCCAATGATATTTTGTGTTTCTGTTATGTCTGTTGTAGTATTTCCTGTTTCATTGTGAATTTGATTTTTCTGGTTCCTTTCTCTCTTCTTAATTAGTCTATCTAATGCTATGTTGATCTTGTTTATCTTTTCAAAGAACCAGCTTTTGCTTTCATTTATTTTCTGTATAATTCCTTTATTTTCTGTTTCATTTATTTCTGCTCAAATCTTTATTATTTCTTTTCTTCTGGCATTAAAACAATTTTTTTTTTGTTTTTCCAATTCTCTAAGGCATGATGTTAGGTTGTCCATTTGCCATCTTTCCATCTTTTTCTTATGTGCACTAATTGCTATACACTTCCCTCTTATGACTGCTTTTGCTGTTGCTCATAGATTATGGAAACTCATGTATTCATTATCATTGGTTTTCATGAATCTTTTGATTTCAGTCTTAATTTCTTCAGTAGCTGTAAAGTCGTTCAGCAGTAGCTTATTTAGTTTCCGTATGTGTGTGTATTTTCGAGTTTTTTTTTGTAAGATTAATACCAAGTTTAATTCCATCATGGTTGGAGAAGATGCTGGATATGATTTCTATGATTTTGAATCTGTAAAGATTTGTTTTGTACCCTCTCATGGTCAATCTTTGTAAAGATTCCATGCAGTGGTAAGAAAAATGTATATTTTATGACTTTTGTGCGGAAGGGTCTTTATATGTCTGTCAAGTCCATTTGATTTATGGTATTGTTTAGATCTTGTATCTCTTTGTAAAACCTTGTTTTATGTCCTATCATGTGGTCAGTCTTTGAAAATGTTCCATGTAGGGGTGAGAAACATGGATATTTTGTGGTTGTTAGGTAGGATACCCTATAGTTATGTGTAAAATAGATTTCATGTACAGTATAATTTAGATCTTGTATCTCTTTACTTATTTTTTGTCTATATGATCTGTCCAGAGGATCAGTGGGGTATTGAGATCCCCAACTATTAGTGTGTTGCAGTCCATCTCTTCTTTTAGATCTACCAGTCTTTCTTTCATGTATTTGGGTGCTCCTGTGTTGGGTGCATAGATTATTATTATTATAATTTTTTTTTTGAGAGGCTTTTGCTACAGGGCACGTGTACTCGCCAGAAAGACAGAGAGAGACAGAGAGACAGAAAGCGAGAAATCACCCCACAGGAAGTATGGCCATGCCACAATCCCTTCTTCTCCATTCTCCTTTTGGGATTTTGGGCACGCACGCACACGTACCTGGCGTGAGTTTAAGCCACTGGGTCTGGGACTCGAACTACGGTTGACTACATGGGCGTTCAGCAACATAGCCATTATGCTAATTGCTGGTCCCGGTGCATAGATATTTATCAACGTTAGGTCTTCTTGATGAATTAGCCCTTTTGCTACTATATAATGTCCTTCTTTGTCTCTTCTTACAGTGTTAGTCTTAAAGTCTATTTTGTCTGAAATCAGTACTGCAACTCTAGCCTTTTTTGGTTTCCATTTGTGTGGAATACCTTTTTCCAACCCTTCACTTTTATCTATGTATGTCTTTATTCATGAGGTGCATTTTTGGTAGGCAACAGATGGCAGGTTTCTGTTTTTTAATCCATTCACCCAGTCTGTGTCTCTTGATTGGAGAATTTAATCCATTAACATTCAACATTTATTATTGATATTTCTGGACTTGTCCCTACTGTTATGTTAGCCATTTTCTTGGTTGTTTAGTTTCCTTGGTTTCTGTTTAATTTTCCTGGTATAGAATTCTCTTCAGAGCTTCTTGAATTGCTTGTTTGGTCTTGGTAAATTCTTACAGGTTTTGTTTATCTGAGACTATTTTTATCTTCTCTTCCCATTTGAATGTTAATCTTGCAGGAATAGTAATCTTGGTTGAAATTGTTTTTCTTTGAACACTTTGAATTTATCTTCCCATTCTTTCCTTGGTTGCATTGTTTCTGCTGAAAGGTCTGATGATAGCCTGATCAAATAACCTTCATAAGTAACTTGACGTTTCTCTCTTGCCATTTTTAGTATGTCTTTATCTGTGATTTTGGTCATTCTGGCTGTGATGTGCCATGGAGAGAATCTTCTTGGTTTGATTCTATTTGGGGTCCTTTGTATTTCTTGGGTCTGGTTGTTAGATTGCTTCTCTAGGTTTGGAAAGTTTTCTGCAAGTATTTCATGGACTAGATCTTCTATGACGTTGTCTGATTCTTCACCTTCTGAAATACCTATTATTCAAATATTTGGGTGTTTCGTAGTATCTATCTAGTATTTCTTCTTTGTTGTCCTAATTTAAAAAAAATTTTTTTTCATTATTTTTGGTGGTTTTGTCTTCCAACTCAAGAGATTCTGTCTTCTACGTGGTTCAGTCTAATGCTAATACTTTTGAGGGAGGTCTTCATTTCTTGTATTAGATGAGATGTATCTTCATCTCTAGAAGTTTGGATTGACTTTTTAAATGACGTCTATCTCTTCCATCAAATCCTGGAAAAACTTCTTCATCTCTGTCACCATGAATATTCCGAACTCTATTTCCGACATTCCTTCAAATTCTTTTGTTTTGAAGAAGGGTCGCTCTTGTCCATTGAGGAAGAGGTATTTCTTTGTTTCCCCATACTTTTTGTGCCTCCGTGCTGGTTTCTGGTCATCTGGTGGATTATACACTACTTCCTGCTTTTCCGTTGTCAACCTTATAGTGTTGGGGGAAGAAGAGCTCCACCTCTCAGATGTGTTTTTGGTAGAAGGCCTTGTCTTTTAGTCAGAGAGTGTGTATATAGCCACCTTTAGGTTGCTTCCTTTTGCAGTCACTTGAGATCAGGTGCAGTTGGGGCTAACCTGAAGATTTTCAGATGGAAGAGGGAAAAGGAGTCTGTGGCACAATGCATCACATAGTTCAGAAGACTATGAAGTCTCAGAATATTCCTGGGACAAGTTGGGAGGCAGGAAGAAGCTGGAAGTGATCTGCCTCGGCTTCCCTCACCAACTGCCACTTCTCCTTGGATGGCAGCAGCACAGGCTCCCCTGAGTGTCTCTTTCTCTCTCTCTCTCTCTCTTTTTTTTTTTTTTTGATTGCCAATGTTTATATGTGCTGATGAGAGAGAGAGAG